GGACAAGCACCTAAAGTCAGTTCCTGATCAGCCGGGCTGTGGCTCGTACGTTGGTTTGCGTGCAGCCAGCAGCAACAGCCTGGTTGATCAGGCGCTGATCCACCAGGAGGCCTGGTCACAGACCGGGCCGCGGGGGCGTTGACCCCCGAAACTCTCTTCAGGTAAACTCCAGAGGTGTAACTATCCGAGTGAAAATAAATGGTAGGGTGAGGACAATAGTTATTATGGATCGTGGACTGAGGCAGGAATGCCCTATGTCACAGATCCTGTTTGCATGTCTGCAAAACCCTTTATAGGATGATAAATGTCTGGGTGGGTAAGGGGGCATATGGAATAGGGGTGCAATGGGTATAGTAGGATATGTCGATGACACGAGTCTTAGTGGGGGAGAGGAGGGGTTAAGGAGTGTTGGCAGAATCATAGATATATTTAGTGGAGCGACAGGTTTATGTGTTAATGGTGTAAAGTTGAAATTACTGGAGGTGGGTATGTGGGTAGGGGGGAGAATGGGGACTAAGTATGGCTGGCAGGTGGTAGAGCAGGTGAAAATTTGTGGAGTGATATATAGGGGGGATGCAAAGAGGGTTAGAGTGGCTAATTCTGAAAGGGTAGACCAAGAGGCGCTACGTACGTTGGGAGGAATAGGATCGAGTGGTTTGACGTTACATCAGAAGGGTCATTGTGATTAACACACTAACATATTCTAAATTGTGGCATGGAGGGGTGGCGTATCCTTTGCTGCCGGAAGATGTAAGGAGATTGTGTAGGAAAGTCCTGAGGTTTGTCTGGGGATATGGTTGTCAATGATTGTGTTAGACTGTTGCGATGAATTCGATAGTGATAGGAGGTTTAGGGTTAATTCATTTGGAGAGGAGGTTGAAGAGTATATATGTGAAGCACTGTTATCTTAGATTGGGTGGGGAACGAGGCATAAGGGCGGGGGCAGTGATGGCTGATGTGCGGCGGTGGTGGGGAAGGGAGTAGGGATTTACAGGAGAGTGTGGGTATGTTGAGGTACTTATTACAGGTAAGGGTTCCGGATAATATGAACTCTTGTGTGTTTGGGAGGTTGGGAAGGAGTAATGAGATGGTGGAAATGTAGGGTGTGTTTCCAATGTGTGAATGGAAACGTATATGGAGAACATTATGTAAGTTAAGGTTGCAATCGAAGGTGAGGGAAACATTGTATCAGTTTCTACATGAGATATTGCCTATTAAAGTTCGATTGTATAAGATGCGCATTTTGCGGTCCCTCTGGTTTCGCAGAGTCTTGGGTATGGTTGGTGGAAGTAGGATAGGGATGCTAAGGGCATTGAGCTTAGATATAGAGGGAGTGGAGGATTGCGTGAGGAGTACTGTCTTGTACTTTAGTGGCGGATTATGTTTATGTACCGTGGGCGATGAGGGAGGTGGGGGTGAAAAGGATACGGGCGTTAGTGGGACGCTTCTACAGAACGAAGTGTAGTAATGAGGTAGTGTATGGGAATAGGTGGGCATTAGATTTTCCTGTAACATATAGGGAAATGACTGTGAGAAGGCTACGAGATTTTATGCAGTAAGGGTTAGGTGGACTGGTCTCTAGCGGGGGAGGCGGGAGAATGCTCGCAAGAAATAGTACTGTGGAATGCTGGAATCTCATGTTAATTGGAAATGATTTTGTAATAAGCCTAGTAGCGGAACAAGAATGATTTTGAAATGAGCCTAGTAGCAGAACAGGAACGATTTTGTAACGAGCCTAGTGGAAGAACAGGAATGATTTTGTAACGAGCCTAGTGGCAGAACAGGAATGATTTTGTAATGAGCCTATTAGCGGAACAGGAATGATTTTGTAACGAGCCTAGTGGCAGAATAGGAATGATTTTGTAACGAGCCTAGTGGCAGAACAGGAATGATTTTGTAACGAGCCTAGTGGCAGAACAGGAATAATTTTGTAACGAGCCTAGTGGCAGAACAGGAATGATTTTGTAACGAGCCTAGTGGCCCGAACAGGAATGATTTTGTAACGAGCCTAGTGGCAGAACAGGAATAATTTTGTAACGAGCCTAGTGGCAGAACAGGAATAATTTTGTAACGAGCCTACCTGCTACCTACCTGGAGATTATTCCGGGGATCAACGCTCCCGCGGCCCGGTCCACAACCAGGCCTCCCGGTGGACCAGGGCCTGATCAACCAGGCTGTTACTGCTGGCCGCACGCAGTCCAACGTACAAACCACAGCCCAGCTGATCCTGCATTGACTTTAGGTATCTGTCCAGCTCCCTCTTGAAGGCAGCCAGGGGTTTATTGGTAATTCCCCTTATGCTTGGTGGAAGGCTGTTGAACAGTCTTGGGCCCCGGACACTTATGGTGTTTTCTCTTAGTGTACTAATGGCGCCCCTACTTTTATTTGGGGGTATTTTGCATCGCCTGCCCAGTCTCTTACTTTCGTAGGGAGTGATTTCTATGTGCAGATTCAGGACCATTCCTTCTAGGATTTTCCAAGTGTAGATTATGATATATCTCTCCTGCATTCCAATGAATACAAGTCAAGTGCTTCCAAGCATTCCCAGTAGTTAAGGTGCTTGAAAGAACTTATACGTGCAGTGAAGGTTCTCTGGACACTCTCTAGATTTGCAATTTCACCTGCTTGGAATGGAGATG